TTTCAGCATCAATCGACAGAGTCAGAACTGGAACATCATATCTATTTGCATCATCCAAGATATTAATAATTTTCCTTATACTTGTATAGGAATTTCTACCTGGAACATATCCTATTTGATCTTTATGGATGATTAGTGGAAGAAGTTTTTTTATTCTAGCAGCCAAAACCGAAGCGTATAACTTAGTGTCAACATCTATTAAAGATATCGGACGGTAGTTTTTGATATCAGTGGGGTTTTTATCATTTTTTAGAATAGTTATTAGCTTTTAGCATCTCTGCTGGTAAAAATCCTCTGTTTGCCGCTATGTTAAAAGCAGAGGTCAAATGTGGACATATTAAATCTTTAAATGTTTTATAAAATAGGTTGCTAAACCCATCCGGGCCTGGTGTTTTAGATTTTTCTAAATCATTTATTGCTTTCATAGTCTCCTCCATAGTTATAGGTTTATTTAAGAAATCATTTTCAATAGAAGTTAATTGAGGCTTCTTTATATTATTTAAATAGTTTTTAATATCCTCATCTGTATTAATCTGAGGAATATTGTATAGATTGGAATAATATTCATTAAAACACTTTCCAATCTCTCTGGGGGTTAGTGCTATTTTTCCGTTCTGTATTATTTTGTCTACCTTATTTTGTACTTTTTGTTTTCTAAGTTTTTGGGATAGCATCTTTTCAGCTCGATTGCCTTTGGAATAATATTTAAATTTTAGTCTAACCATATTTTTAGCTATCGTGTCCATTAATTTTTGCTTTATTTTTTCTTTAAGTTCTAATATTTTTTCATAAATTTCAGAAGATGGAGATTGTTTATTGATATTAGTCAAATCTCTTAATTTTGTATGTAAAAATGCCAAAGTATTATTTTTATCAAGTTGGCTTTGTAACTTGATAATATGACCTCTTATAACGGCCTTAAAGGCACACCACAAAATAGATGAATCAATATTTTCTGAGATATTTTCTTTAAAATAATTTTTTATATTATCTCTTATATGAGTTTTTTTTGATTCACAACAAAGCAAATTATCTCTTAACCGCCAAGTATAAGCTTCTCTTTTAAATGTACTAAAAATCATTTCACAAAAAACTCCATCATGATCTGTCCATACTATCTCGTCAATCTTTGTTTTTTTGGTCATATCAATAATACTTGGGTCGACCCAAATCATGTCTAATCTTGAATAGGAAAAATGCACTTTAGAAAAATGCGTATAGTCTCTCTCATTAGGATTAAAAATTCTCCAAATATCAAATAGATTATATTCATCTTTAATTTTTTTTAAGGCTTTTGCTTGTTTTATAACCATCTGATTTAAAATATTTCCTTTCATTAATTTTTTATCTATCTGAGGGTCTAGTACAGCATTGAAATCCCCCGCCACTATTAACTTTCCCACTTTAACTTCATCTACTTTTTCCAGAATTGTTTTTAAATAAGCAACTGGTAAATGATTGGGAAGATATATATTACATAATGTAAAAAGTATAGAGTCAATTTTGCATATTATTATTAAATACCTGCCTTTAGTGTCTTGTATTTGATGAATTACTTCAACTTTAATCTTTTCTCCAAATACCACAGCTACTCCACATTTTTTTTTTCCTTATTGGAAGCTTGAATTATAAGTGGAAATCTTTTACCCCCCCAATTTTGTTTATCCACTTGTCTCCAGTGAGTTTCTTGTAGGAATATTAAATTCAATTGTTTTTCACTGAGGTATTTGTACAATAGATTTCTTTTCACTATAGTATTCAATCCCTGAACATTAAGTGTAAGCATTTTTATCATATTATTTTCAAAAACCTCCCTGCATCCCTTTCCACTCGATAACCATTGCCCTTCCCTATTGCTGCATAAACATATCTACACAAACACATAGAACAAAATATTAAAATCATAGGAGGAAATCCTCCTTTTTTATCACAAAGACTGTAAATTTTCATATAGAAATTCAGTCTTTACTGTGTCTTTAAATTAGACACTAAGTGGGCGTATCCAGAAAGAGGTAGTAATATTTACAAGTTTGCAATCTCTCTCCAAGAGGGAGAGAGAGAGAAGAGAAAAAAAAAATAAAAAATAAAAATTTTCTTCCATTATTTTATACTTAAATCAGTTACTCTGTGATTCTTTACTTTAAATAAATCTATTTCCACTTAACTTACTAATACATGTGAATAATTTTCTTTTAACCACCTCGTTAAGTTCAAATCTAATAATATCAATACTTAGACATATTTGCTTTTAAATCCTTATGTTCCAAGTGCTTGTGTGCATATACTTAATTCTCAATTGACTAGTAGCTTTAAAATGAAAACAAGCCCCATTAACATCAACAAATTAGCAAATTGTGCAAAGCACAACTAAGTAATTCTATATGAGTGGAGAAAAAAAAAATAAAAAAAAAAAAAATAAAAAAAAATTCTTCCATTATTTTATACTTAGATCAGTTACTCTGTGATTCTTTACTTTAAATAAATCTGTTTCTACTTAACTTACTAATACATGTGAATAACTTTCTTTTAACCACCTCGTTGAGTTCAAATCTAATTGATATCAATACTTAGACATATTTACTTTTAAATCCTTATGTTCCAAATGCTTGTGTGCATATACTTAATTCTCAATTGACTAGTAGCTTTAAAGTGAAAACAAGCCCCAATAACATCAACAAATTAGCAAATTGTGCAAAGCACAATTAAGTGATTCTATATGAGTAAAAAACAGACCCGCAACAGACCCTTCAAGCTTTTTTATTAATACTTGATAACCAACTATTTGCTTCATTTGCATCCAAAAAAATTTTTCTTTCTTGTTTCCAAGTAAATCTTAAAGATGTTGGATAGGCCCATTGAAACCTGATCTCTGCTTTTCTTAAAAAATCCGTCACGATAGAGAAAGATTTCCTCCAAGTCCTGGTATGATAAGATAAGTCTTGCAAAAAAATTATGTCTTTGTAAATAGAATTTGTTCGGGGTTTGGTACGGCAGGCTTTCATTAAATTATTTCTCAATGATAATGAGGAAAAACTCACTATTACATCTCTTGGGAGATGTGGAGCCGTTGTATCTGGTTTATGTATCCGATTAACCAGATTTTATTCTACCGGGCATCATGGGAGATCGCCTTAAAGGGACATTGTAGCTTTAAGAATACAGACCTGTATACAATGACCCAATAACTAGTCACACTCCCCAATAACTAGTCATACGACCCAATAACTAGTCATACACCCCAATCACTAGTCACACGACCCAATAACTAGTCACACTCCCCAATCACTAGTCACACTCCCCAATAACTAGTCACATTCCTCAGTAACTAGTCACATTCCCCAATAATTAGTCACATTCCCCAATAACTAGTCACACTCCCCAGTAACTAGTCACACTCCCCAGTAACTAGTCACACTCCCCAGTAACTAGTCACACGACCCAGTAACTAGTCACACGACCCAATCACTAGTCACACTCCCCAGTAACTAGTCACACTCCCCAATAACTAGTCACATTCCCCAATAATTAGTCACATTCCCCAATAACTAGTCACACTCCCCAGTAACTAGTCACACTCCTCAGTAACTAGTCACACTCCCCAGTAACTAGTCACACGCCCCAGTAACTAGTCACACGACCCAATAACTAGTCACACTCCCCAATCACTAGTCAAACTCCCCAATCACTAGTCACATTCCCCAATAACTAGTCACACGACCCAATCACTAGTCACATTCCCCAATCACTAGTCACACGACCCAATAACTAGTCACACTCCCCAATCACTAGTCACACTCCCCAATAACTAGTCACATTCCTCAGTAACTAGTCACACTCCCCAGTAACTAGTCACACTCCCCAATAACTAGTCACATTCCCCAATAATTAGTCACATTCCCCAATAACTAGTCACACTCCCCAGTAACTAGTCACACTCCTCAGTAACTAGTCACACTCCCCAGTAACTAGTCACATGACCCAATAACTAGTCACACGACCCAATAACTAGTCACACTCCCCAATCACTAGTCAAACTCCCCAATCACTAGTCACATTCCCCAATATCTAGTCACACGACCCAATCACTAGTCACATTCCCCAATAACTAGTCACACGACTTAATAACTAGTCACACGCCCCAATAACTAGTCACACGACCCAATAACTAGTCACATGACTTAATAACTAGTCACACGCCCCAATAACTAGTCACACTCCCCAATAACTAGTCACACAACCCAATAACTAGTCACACGCCCCAATAACTAGTCACACGCCCCAATAATTAGTCACACGACCCAATAACTAGTCACACGCCCCAATAACTAGTCACATACCCCAATAACTAATCACATGCCCCAATAACTAGTCACATATAGCTTCTCTCACTTTCTAAGTAAATAAAATAAAAGTTTACTTGCTTTCTCTGACTCCTGCAGTAATCCAATCCAATGATACTCATAAAGGACCGGTTAGAGACCTGTTGCGCATGTGTGGCGAGTGCCTCGTTTGTATTTCAGTTTCCCCATAGAAGAGCATCGTATTCAGTGCTTTATTACGGCTTTCGTGTCACATGACCATGATTTACTCAGACAGTGCTGTGGGAGCGCCTCTAGTTGCTGTCAGTATGAGGTGGATCTTACCTCTTCCCCCTCCCATTTGTGCGTCTGTTTCTCCCCCAACCCCTTTGTGTTTGTGCCTTCCCTCCCAGCCCTTTTGAGTGTCTCTCTGTCCCACCCAGCCCCTCTATGTCTCTCTGTCCCACCCAGCCCCTCTATGTCTCTCTTTGTCCCACCTTGGCTCCTCTGTGTGTGTCTTTGGGCCGCCTCCTCTCCTTTGTCCTTCTTTTGCCCCCCCTCCTATGCCCTTATTCAGTTCCCCCTCCCCTCCTGTGCCCTACTTCGGTCCCCTCTCCCCTCCTGTCTCCTTCTTCCATCCCCGTCCCCTCCTGTCCCCCCTCCATTCTACAGTGCCTGCTCAGTCTCACCTCACTCCATGTAGCAAGGCTGAGCAGGCAGAACCTAGTAGAGGAGCTTCTACCGCGGTCCGCCTGCTCGGCTATGCTACATGAAGTGACCAGCAGGAATTAAATGCTACATGAAGTGACCATCAGGTTGGGCAATGCGCTCCCCTTCCTGTTGGACACTCCACGCAAAACACTCAGACTGTGTGACTAACACACTGTGTTGCACCACACAGTTTGGAGAGCTATGCTCTAAATGGTCTGAGAAAGCTTGCCACAAAGCTTGCTGTGACTGTAGCTGGCGGAAAGATGTAGACTGCGATCAGCTGCTGTCAGACTGGTTAATCGACACTGTAAATCCTACTGTGGGTAAGTAAAACCTAGATTAGGTGGCTGACGAAAGTTAGTCGTGAGTGATAGAGGATGATAATTAGGGTGTTAATACTGGTAAACCTTGTCATGTATACCACAATTTTTTTTAAATCACTATTTGACAGCATTAGACCAAAAATAATGGTAAAAAAAATAAATGAAGTAATTTTAACACCACCCACACTTATCTCTAATATCAAAAACTACGACAACCAAGGCAATTTATAACAACAGATTAAAAAACCCATAGAGAAGCCTTTGATTGGATCGTATAACTGGATAAGAGCACATGCACACTCTGAGCTGGCGAGGGGAGGGGTAGAGCGAGTGGGGAGCCAAGCTTATAGGGAGGCGGGGAAGGCTACAGTCAAAAAGGGAGGGAACATCAATGCTTTCCCTTGCAGGCTTTGCCTAGAAGGGAGAAGCTCAATATTTCCGTTGTCAACGTGCTGTGTGTGCTAACGACGGGTGCATTTTTTGCACAGATTTGACATTTGGTAGTCTGCAACAGAGGCAAAAAAGTGAAAATATCTCTGTATGTGACATGTTTTTGTCACAGTTCTCACCACAACATCCAGACTAGGTCACCCCAGAAGTGATCGAGAGGGGGATTTGAACCTGGGGGCTTTATTGTTTTCAGCCTTTGTTCCTGCCTCTGAGCCACTTCAGTTCTTGGTTTGGCCTGAAACTTATCCTTGCCAAGTCTCCAGCACTGGGGGCTGGACTTAACCTGTGATTGCTCCTGTCAATCATGGTCCAGCTGTAAAGTATCACTGATTAGCCAGGTTTAAGACACTGCCTCTCCCTGAGGGCAGTGTCAGTTCATTGACTCTGGTTCTTGGTTTGTATTCGTGATCCAGTGTTTTCCAGTTGGCTCCTGACCTTGGTTTTCTTATCGTGTATCCTGACTTCTGGTATCCTCTGACTTTGGCTTACCCTCAACGATTCTCCTGCTTGGGTCTTTACCTGTACTGCGACTTGGAGCAATATCCTGTACAGACTCAAAGGCCAGGTGAATTCTTACCTGACCACCTTGGCCTGTGTTTAATTGCAAGGGTGAGCATAAATATCTGCCTACTGGACTCCCAACTAAGGTAAGCCGTGACAGTTTTAAGCAGAAATGCTGGACATACAATATCTTGCCTCCATGACCACTTGAAGTAACCCTTTAATAAAGGAAAATTTATTATGAACAAAGGGTAAAAAAAAAGTGCATACATTAAAAAAAAAAATAGCTGTTAAATTATGTACATAAATAAATGGGAGAACATTAACAGGAAAGCCTTGGTTACTTTGCTAGAACAGTAATTGTATTTTCTGTTCTGGGGCGATAGGCAACTCACTCAAAATTATATCTTAAACACCAGTAAGCACACTAGTAATTTGCTTGTCATGGATTGTTTACCCATTATGCCAACTCGTTTCCAAACCAGCCCTGAAGGTACAGGGCGGATAATAGGCATAAGGATTCTAGATTGGTGACACCACCTATTTCACTGTTTGGTTGATTTAAACACAAACTTACATGAAAAAATTCAGGAAAGTGTCCTTATTTCTTGTTGTTCACCTGGCACGGAAATAATCTGTACATTTGTGGAACTGTCTCAATTTATCCATCCCAAAGACACCTTACAAGTCCAGAAAATGTATAGAAACAAAAAGGATACAGCTGTGTATCTGTACAGGAATTACTAACACATAATGAAGGATTGTTGTTTATTTGTGGAACAGCACAATAATGGTTGCACTCACAGAGGAAATGGATATAAAACGCCTTAAGGTACCTCTCTCGATGGCAGGGGTGGAATAATTTCAGGTGTCCAGGCAAGTACTTGAAGAGGTTTATTTTGCATTTTTAAAAAATTTTTTTTTTTTAATATATATCTTATTGTTTGTAAAAGGTCCAACGCGTTTCATTCTCAGAGGACTTCCTCAGGACCAAACAGTGAATAAAACAATATCCTTAAAAACCTACAGCCTAATACCCATGCCGGAAGTCCCTTTAGGCAGGGCTAATCCCAATTGTTCATTGGTGGTTCACTGGGTGTCTCTCCTGGGCAGTCCACAAATTGGTTTTCCCAGGCAATTTATATACCTTGAAAAAAACAATATTTTCCTCCAGATCTGTGCACACTTCTGCCAGCCATGACTAATACACTCGTTAATTTCTTTGTGTAAACGGTATAGCCGTTTCCGCGTGCGTTCCACCTCCGCCTTCTGTGCATTCCACTGCCCATTTCCCGTTCCTGTGGGCTGTCCTAGCTATTCTGATCACGTCACAAACTCCAATATCTTATTGCTTAAAGGAAATCTAATTGTAAGCTTAAAGAAAAGTTGCCATTATTCCTAGTGTGTGTGTGTGTGTGTGTGTGTGTGTATATTATATATGTATATATTTTATTTGCACAAGATCCAGAGCACTCACACATCCACTAAACAGCAACTTCAAAGCTCACAGATTTTATTAGTAGGTTTTTTTGTTTTGTTTTTGTTTTTTAAACACCTAATCTAGGCAAAAATGACTGGGTTTAGTTACAGTATATGATCATACAATGCATAAGCCTGCCACAATATCAGTAGTATATGAAATTCCATCTGGGGATCTCTGCATTACAAAGCTAAATAGGACCCTGGAATGAGGCACCCCTCCCTGTCACGTGTGTGTGTATCTATCTCTATCGAAGAGGCCCATAGACAACGTAGTGACACTAACATGTATATAATAAACTGCCATCAGATCCAACCAAGGACATACAAATGGTCTTATCTAAATTTTTCGAAAAAGGTTTTAACTTGAGTATTTTAAACAAACACTAATTTAATTTTTTTAAACAAAAAAATTCCAATACCCGTAATCTATTTCCTCCCAAAAATACACAAAGATAAAAGTAAACCCCCAGGAAGACCTATTGTCTCAGGAATAGGTTCTCTCTTATGTAATTTATCTCAATATATAGATACCCTCCTCCAACCTTCAGTTAAATTAATGAGGTCCTATTTAAAAGATTCTATGTCCCTGTTAAGATTTTTAAACCCTTTTAGTTGGAAACCAAACTTTATTTTAGTCACTTGTGATGTTCAGTCCCTCTACACCATTATACCCCACAATATAGGCTATCAAGCCATAAGAGAGATTTTAACCGCAGAAGGCAAAATTGCCAACATACAAATTGATTTTATAATAGAAGGTATTAATAATATTTTAAACAACAATTATTTTTGATTTTTAGACTCTTTTTACCTTCAAAAGAGAGGCACAGCTATGGGTACTAGGTTTGCCCCTAGTTATGCAACTTTATTCATGGCCAATTGGGAATCCTCCGCTATCTGGGGTGACCACCCATGGCAGGCAAGCCTAGTCTCATGTTTTAGATACATAGATGACCACTTTTTTTTTTTTTTTGGGATGGTACAGAAGATAATTTAATCTCTTTTATTAATAATCTAAATAATAAGGGCATCATGCTCTCACATGAATTCAGCAAACTATCAATCAGTTTTTTAGATCTTAACATTTTTATCAACAATGGCCAAAACATTTTTCCAAAAAGTGTGTGTGTAAACACAGCAATTGAGAAATCAAGTTGCCATCACACACCTTGGCTTGAAAACGCGCCTAAGAGTCAATTCCTACGCCTCCGTAGGAATTGCTCAGAACTAAATGATTTTATAGAACAAGCCGTTTTTGTTTTGTTTTTTTTGTTTGTTTTTTTTCAAATTCATTGAGGAAAAATTATTCTGAATGCGACCTCAACCACACTGACATAATAATAAATCAAAAAGAACGAGGTGACCTTCTAATATACAAAGACAAAAATAGCAATGAACCCATGCCTCTTCCTGTTTTTAATTATAGTAACAAAAGTGGTAACATAAAAAAACATTGGCATATACTCTAACACGACGAAATACTCCAACAAATTTTACCAGAACACCCCAATATAGTTTTTAGAGGAGCACCAAATTTTAAATCAATCTAAAAAATCACCCCTTCCTTCTTTCCCCAGACCAAGGGATTTTATAAATGTAAACACTGTGTAGTATGTAGCTGGGCAATATTTGTGTGTTGGTTTGTGGGATGAGAGAAATTTAATACAGGCCTCAATACCATCCTTATGTGAGATGTTACTGTATACGGATTCCACATCCATGGTTACTAGTATAGTGTTTTCAGGTAGTTCATTTATCTGGTTAAATTTATTGAGGAAGCCTGTAGTGTCCTGTATAACGCTCTGTCTTAATAACCAGAGGCTTATGTTTTCTATTCTGCCAGATATTTGTTCTGTAAGTGTTCCCATACACTATTTTTTTATTTTTTTTATTTTCCTGTTGTGTGGTAATAAGGGATGCCACTTTCAGATGAAAACTTTAAATATAGCTAACCAGTTTGATGTTACGTTTTACTGCCGATGTAAAATCAATTTTTAATTTTTATTTTTTTTCTCCCATTATTATCCAGTTTGAACGTGGTGGGTGTTTGGTTTTTTTGGGGTTTTTTTTTTTCATAGAAGAATTCCTTAAGTCTCATTCTTCAGAAAAATTTGTCCAAATCTGAATATAACTGGAAGTAAGCCAGTTATTGACTCCTCTGTTTACTTACTTTTTCTGGTTATTCTCAGCCAACCTGCCAATTTCAGTTTCAGGCACATCTTCTGTTATTTATGACAACCCACTCACACCCCCCTCCCCCTTACCTTCTCTAACATCAGTTGTTTAAGGTGGTAAACTCGATCAGATTGATCAGTATTGATTCAGACCCGAGGAAGAGAGGAAAACTCTTGAAAGCTTGTCTTTGAAACATTGTTAGTCCAGTAGAAAAGGTATCATTGCATACTGCAATACTCTAGTATTTTGGCTGTATGTATGCCCCACAATATATCTAAGTTAAAGTAGAGGAGAATGA